AAAAAAAAAAAAAAATGAAAGCACCTCTCCATCATTCCTGAGCAGAACAAACCGTGCAGATAATCACAACTTGACGCCAATATAACTTTGTGAACATGCACGTGTGGCACCAACACAGAGCAAAAATCACACGTCCAAACCAGGGTTTCATTTGCTTTAGCTTCCATGATGACATCCCTGAGAACCAGAAATACATAAGATTACAACTACACAACTTTGGAATAAATAAAATAATTGCATGAATATTGGATTTAAAGTTATGTTTTCAATAGTATCTAAATCCACTAAGCCAGCCAAATGAATTGGAGTTTCAAAAGATTCATAAGAGTGTAATAGGCAGCCTGAAGGCTATAATTTAGTGATAAATGTGGCTTAATGATTTTAATGGATTTAGTCACCAATCATCATTCAAGGAAAACATCCTTCATAAAGAACCAAGAGGCAGTCAGATAATTTGATGACTCCATAATAGGTGTTCCTAGTGAAGCTCTTACCACATAATGAAGATTGTATATACGACTGAGAATGACAGAGAAAGAAGGGGGGAAAAAAAAAGATTTTCATGAAGATAACTAGGAAGGAGAATAACATACGAAAAACGGTGTCCAACTGGACCAAGTGCTAGAGAAAGATCATAGCTAGGAAACGGAGTGCCCCACTTTGGAACTTTGCAGCAAAGCATTTGCAAAAGAGGCTGAAGATTACAACGTTTAGCAAGTGTTTTCAATTTCTTCACGAGTTCTTCTTCGGCTTGTAGATATCCAAAGTACACAAAATCCAACAACCTTGACAATGCCTGGTGATCAACATGAGAAGATAATCGGATTTCTTTCTGAAACCTGTCACCCATTCCCATGGAGCTCGGCACTGATGAACCATTTGTTTCTTCACTAATATGGAACTCTTCAAAAGGCAGCAATGATGGACATCGAATGGCCAAAATAACACCATGAACACTCAAACAGTCTCCATTTGCGAGGATGAGTCTTATATCTTTATGATCCTCCTCACTAAGTGCTTTGCCAATCCTGTTCCCAAGTTTACTCGGAAAACCATACAATCCAAGAGCACTAAGAGCAAAGGTAGCAAACCACCGTACTCCGGGAGCAGATGTGTTAATGCAAATCTCCCAAAGATTGTTCAGTAATTCTGGTACACTATACCTCATCCCACCAGAAGATACATGTAAGTTATTACTTATGTGTGGTGTAGAATGCTTGATCAACTCACCTAGGCCCCACAAAATATAAAGCACGATAATGTCTTCGCCCTCCCAGTCTTCCAAAGAAACAAGGCAACAAGTACGCCCAAGGAGCGAATTATGCAAATATAACGTGGATCCCAGACTGCCCTCATTAACACCATTACTTAAACACCACGTTAAAAGAGTAAATAAAGTTCTTACCCCTGAAAGTTCAAGAACCTGCACTCGAAACTCTGGCAAACCTATATAACATGCCAAAGCCATCACATAACTCATGATTTGTAGTCTATCAAAATTGTTTCTCGATGGTATATTTTTTAGTGTAGACAGCAAGTGTTTCAAAATGTGCCCTCTATTTGGTCTCAATACTTCAGACAGTACGAATCTTATTTTTGATGCAATGTATGTGCAGGGAGAATGAATCATCAACAAAACAGCCCTTATCACTGATTCCCTTTGCAAGTCATGAGTGATCCATTTCTGAATTGTATCCACAAAGGCCACGCTGCCATAATATAAAGATAAATCAGCAAAATATAAAGATAAATCAGCAAAAAA